TCCAGTTTTTTTCCAGTAATTTCTAGGTCAGTAAGAAGGAAGCCTTAAATTGCAAATGTTTCCTTCTATGCCTAGATCTCAACACCGCAGCACTTCACAGGGTCCTGAGCCAGGGTGACTGGCGCTGATGCTATTAGACAAGGGTGGAAAACCGATCTCTTCCCAGAAAGATTTAGTGGCCAGTCGGACAGGAAATTACTCCAGCTGGGTACTCTGTCCCCATCTCTCAGCTCTTCCTGCAGCTAGGAGATTCACTCTATAATTGCTTTCTTAGTCCACATTTTATCCTCAGCTGACAGAATTCCATTAGGGTGATACAAGCTGCATGATAAAGGGATGTTTGTGTCTCACATGGGCTGTAAGTCATTTCTCAGCAAACAAGCAAATAGTCACAGAAATGGGCAAAGAGACCACTGAGCCAGGAACCCTCCTTCTTGTGCTCTGAATAGCAGGACCTCAGCACTCAAACGGAAGCAAACAAGCATGTCACACTCCTCCCTGCTTCCTTCTCTGCTCTTCAGAGGAGACGTGTCAGTGCACATCTCCAAAATGAGCGTTTATTTCTGCAGCATTTTTGAATGGACAGTAATCAAGCAGACAGACATGTTGCACCAGGACCCCTAGAAATGAGGGCCCCAGGCAAAAAGGAGCTGCTGTGCTGCAGTCATAGGGGTTGGTGACACCAGAGAGCACAGACAGCAAGTGGCCTACATGTGGGAAACCGGATGAAATGAAACTACTGTTGTAATACATCTGAGTATATACACCTGAAGAGCAAAACAGGTTGGTCACACCTGTAAGAATCATTCTGAACAGGACCTTCAGGACTGTTCTGGAGGACAAAAGGAGTGACTTTCTAAGCAGCTATAGACATGTTGAAAGAAGCTGAACAGAATATGGGAAGGTGCATCAAATGCTGTAGTGCACGTAGCTACAGTTATCTATAGTACTGGTGAAGTCATTACTAGGCAGTGTGTTCTGGAGTCCGTATTTTTTGAAGAATATTGGAAGAGATTTGGCTACTTCAGTGACTCTTACCAGGAGAGCTCAGCCTCCTGGATCAGCAGCCCCAGAGCATGGAGGCCAGCCTAAGGCACCCCTACACGGCATGTCTGCTCACACCAGTCACGACATGTCTGCTCACACCAGTGCTGGTCTGGACTTTAATCACTTGCTACATTCCCCAGACCAGTACAGAGGCGCACCCAACAGTGAGGACTGTCGAAGCAGATAGCAGGAAAGAATGGGAAATGCTTCTGTCTTACAGAGCATAAGCCATTGGCTGAGTCAATGGGAAAGCAGCCTTCATCCCCTGCGCGAGCCAGAAAGATGTCAGATCAGCACTCCGTGTTTGCTCTTACCTGACTTAGGCTGAGAAGTGAGCTTTCCCTGGTAACATAACAGGGTTTAAAGACTCAACGTTCAACCTCCATCACCCGCTGCTCTCATCCTCACGTCATCACCGTCAGCGAGCCCTCCCTCTGGTCGTTCCAGTGTGTTACCTGGTATACAAGATTTCTGTCCAATCTCACAACACCCCATCACTCACTGGCAGCGTAATGCTCTTGCAGATGTTACCAGTCTGGCATACATCCCTGAAATGATAGGACTGAACATCACTATGGGGAATGACCAGTGCACCAGTGACATGGTCAAGACCCAGCAGGACCAAGAAATCTTACAGAAAACAGTGACACCTAAGCAGGATGCTGTGGTTCAGTTTTATGTCCAGGTCCAGCCTAAGCCAACACAATGGCTCAGTTTAATTTAGCTGCCGTATGTAGCTCCTCATGTAGCTCTTTTGGGCTTCATCCTCCAAAATGAGGATGACTCTCCTGACTCAGTAATAATACACGAGCTTCCCTGTCTTCTATGCTGCCTTTCACAATGTATGCATCACTCCTTGCTCCCTTGTCCGCATATGGGTGGTTCTCACTGCTGTTTAAATTCTACTGGATTAAACCACAAAAAGGCAGAAACTGGAAACAGAAGTTGCAGGCCATCCCAAGCATCCCAGTGTTCAGATGACACTGTGAAGACTGATAAAAATATCTTTTTAAAGATCAAAAAGTAGGCAGCATGACATGTACGTCCTCACAGATTATTTCTTTATCCTCTGTCCTTCTCCTTTCTGTTATCTTGATCCAACCCCTTTAAAGCAAGTCATTGCAGGTAAAGGTGAGCATCTATGACATTAAGGTTTTTGAGTAGCCCAGAAATTGGAACTGGGCTAAATTTAATAATTTACCTCAAAAGCTTCAGCAAGAATTCATATTAATCCTTCCTTTTCCTTTGTCATGCTTTTGACAATGTCGAATGCTGTGTTACCATGCACATTCTTGCTGAAACTGTGCCTGACATCGACTGCAATGCTCTGTGGGGATTTTCTTGATTGCATGTTTACTCTTCCTCTTTTTCCTCCTGTAAATACTAGTCTGACATGAGTGTACTGGTGACTAGGTAGTTAAGGTGAAAAATTGAATAAAACTTCCCTCCCCCAATTCATTGTGGAAATGAGTCAAGTATCTATCTTTGAGTATGTAGGGCTGACTAGGACACCTAATTATCTTTGGTTATATAAAGGGTCATTACATCTCAGCTCCAGTTAGAAGGGCAAATGCTGACATCTCCTACCCCACAGAGAATAATGAAGTATTTTCTAAACATTATGCTACTTTCTATATACAATGGACTAGAACCAAGGACTTCATTAGGCCTTGCCTTCGTGGTGTATGTCATCCCAGAGCAGACCGCAGGCTGGCAAACCCTTCTTTCAGACAGAGACACTGCAGGGGAGGATGTTCCACAGCTTCACCATTTTTTTTGAAATATTTTGAAGACTTTCATGGTCTTTCCACAGTGTGGTGATTTTAGGAATCTCCTGAATGGGTAAAAGGAGCTGCTAGAAGAGGCTGGCAGAAAGTAGAAGCCAATGCTCTGAGCCAGACCAGCTGCACTGGATACAGGCTTCCTGAGGCAAAAGGTGTGAAAGCAGGCTGCAGTTACCAACTGACTGGTGAGGAAGAGTTCGTGGCAGAGAAACAGACACTGGAGAGAACTGTGACCCATTTGAGCTTGACCAAGTATTTTGCCATAATTTACAAAACCTGGTGTTACATCAAAGGATTAGGGTTGAAAAATCGTTAGTCCATCACACTGGACTTCAGATGCTCTAGACAGGTACAAAGAGATGAGCATAGAAAGTCCTCTCCTCCTCATACCTTTTCTGATTAGTAAGAAGGATGTTATTCTGTGCCAGGAAACACAATGGATTTCATTTCTCTTCACATTCAATGCAATTTTCTCAGAAGAACAGACAATGTGACAGGCCTCATCTCATCTAGAGATTGCCTACATGACAAACCTGTGACTGTGCCTTAAGTCTTAAAAACCTTGCTGTAGCGTCTCCTCTTCCAAATGCATATATCTGTTCTTAGCCCTACCAATAACCCTCCTTTCAGCTCCTCCTCTTTTTTTGTTTTGGAGTTGCATGCCATGGTTATCAGATCTGGAGCAAAAATTAAAACTTGGTTCTTGGTAGAGCTACACTGGTAAATGCACTAGAGGAGACAGTTCGCAGAACACCACAAGGTTCTTTCATCAGCACAGTTTGGGAAGAGCCTTTAAACAAAGTACCATATACTCACAAACACTATTTTACATTTAGAAGGAAAGTGTTGTATTTAGTACAAAATACATTTTCTTGCTCCATCAAGTCTAGGAAAAGCATTGCTGTCTTGTGTCTTTCCAGCTTAGCCAACGACAGTTAGTAAGTATGCTTTTTATAAGCAAACATACAAGATACTGCACTCCTGACTTAGCACAGAAAGAGAAGCAGCACATTTTGATTCTATACCAGGAACTGCAATAGAATATCTCTGTTTCATGTCTAAAAGCATATGCTGACTTCAGAGTGTTCAGTTCTCTCTGGAAACAATGAGTGAGTTCTAAATAAGAAAGGAAGAATCTACTATGGAAGAGATTTACAGGTGTAAATCAACTGACAAATTTTCAGTGAACAGTACATTTGCATAGCTACAAATCCTGCAGCGTAATTATTTGGTTAGAGTTTTGTTTAAATGACTACATATGCAGGGTATTTTGTGTTTGAAACTGCAGTTCACTCCTTACCTTTGGCTAGTTAAAATGCATTTACCATTTCTCAAAAGGGAATATATGTTGCTGGCAACAGATCTGGTTGGTGCAGCACAGAGGTATGGCCTCCTTGTTTATATAACCAAATTCAAGCGAAACAGGAGAAAAGAGCATAGCTCTGCAGCAGAAGAACTCTGAAGAACGTGTAGAGCGCCTGTCAATGGCACTTCAGGCAAAAGATCTGTTTTTGCTCTTTACATGTTAGTGAAATAATGAAAGAAATAATTATTTCACTGCAAAAGACGAGAGAAGTGACAGCTGAAATTTACTTATTAAATCTTGATAAACCTACTTCCTGATCTCCACTTTCTAAAAGCATTCATCACACTTCTCCGTACCCAGTGGAACCTCTCCAGATTTCAGACACAGTGTCAGGCCCCAGAGAGAGCCATGGCATCAAAATATACAGTGTCAGCCCAGAAACAGAGGTAAAGAATATTTCCTCTAGTAAATGAATTTCCCAAAGAACTATTTACAGGCATCAGAAACAAAGCAGACACTTCCTTCTACTGAGGAGCTTCATGATCATCCAGCTAAGATTTAGGAATTATGAGAAATACTCTGAAAGGCCTCTTGTTATAACCACCCTGCTTCACCCAAGTTCTTGGTACTCAGCAGGAACAGCTGTCAGTTAGC